GCATTCATTAGAACCCTAATTTTCTGCAATTGCAGTTTTTCAGCACCTTGACTTGACCTAATTCATGGCGATCTCTGAAGAATTGAGCGGTACTACGAACGACAGAGTCAATACAGCCGGAGGATCCATGATTCTCGATCATAATCACCCGCTATATCTACATCCTTCCGATGGACCTAGATCCATGTCGGTAGGGCTTATACTAACTGGAATGGATAATTACACTCTCTGGAGTCGAGCTATGAAGGTAGCCTTGTTAGGAAAAAATAAATTGTGTCTAGTCGATGGATCGACTTCAAAAGAGGATTTTGGATCTGGCCTAGCACACCAGTGGGATCGATGCAACGCGATTATGACCTCGTGGTTAATGAGCAATGTTAGCAAGGATTTAATAACTGGAGTACTCTTTTCATCTAATGCTTGTACAGTGGGCTGCATTCAAGGAACGTTTTGATAAAGTAAATGGATTGAGATTGTACTATCTGCACAAGGAGATCTTCGCTATGACTCAGGGAATGTGTTCTGTTTCTACCTATTTTACAAAGCTCAGAGATCTGTGGGCAGAGTATGACTCCATTTTACCACCACCTCTAGCAGCTGAGTATGTTGAGCAGTTGGAATATCAACGTTTGTTGCAATTTCTCGTGGGATTAAGTGATAGCTTTGAACAAGCTAGAAGTCAGATCCTCTTAATGACTACCTTGCCGTCTATCAACAAAGCATATGCCATGGTAGTTCAAGATGAAAGCAGGAGGATGATTACTGGTGCCAATTATGGAAATGCAGGGAATATTGAGCCTACTACTCTATTTACTGCACAATCACGAAACAAGCAAAGAAGAAATTATAGTTTGGAGTGTGACTTTTGCCATCTAAAAGGACATACTCGAAAAGATTGCTATAAACTAATGAAATGTGATTTTTGTAATAAAACAGGACATTTGAAGGACAAATGCTACAAAAGCGTGGGTTATCCTCCAGATTTCAAGCCAAGGGGAAAGGCAAATGCTGCCCTATTGAGTGAACAGTCTCAAACCACACAGGTGCCTAGTCAACAAACAAGCAATGGGACAGTACCAGCCTAATTCTTCACACAAGATCAGTACAACCAACTGTTACAACTATTGAGCAAGAGTTCTGTTGGAGATGCCAGTGCTCACATGGCAGGTAAATACTTTTGTGGCAATGTAGAGTTATGTGAAAATATGGTACTTTGCAAATGGATTGTAGATACAGGAGCTACAAATCATATGACTGGTTCTAAAGAATTGTTACATAATAAACAATCAGTAGGAAGCACAGGACAAGTTCAGTTGCCTACTGGAGATTCAGCCACAATTTTGCACATGGGAGAATGCCAACTTATAGGAGGTGATACTCTTAAGGATGTTCTTTGTGTTCCAACGTTCAAGCTCAATCTTTTGTCAGTATCTAAAATGACAAAGGACTTGAAGTGCTGTGTCAAATTCTTTCCACAATGCTTTGTATTTCAGGACCTCTTGTCTGGGAAGGCGAAGGGGATTGGTAAGGAGGAGGAATGACTATATGTTCTTTCTACATCAGTTGGAGGAAAATTAAATCGAGCATTTGCAGCAACTAGTGGATCAGGTGGTGCAGATTTATGGCATAAGAGAACAGGACATGTTCTAATGCAAGTTCTTAGGAAGATTCCTAGCCTACTGAATAATACCAATTTCTCTTGTATCAATCAATTGAGTAAGTGTGAGATATGTCCACTAGCAAGACAGACTAGAGTACCATTTCCACTTAGCAAGAGTAGAAGTTTATCTAGTTTTGACTTGATACACATGGATGTTTGGGGTCCATATAGGTTCCTACTCATAATGGCATGATATTTTTCCTTACTTTGGTGGATGATTGCACTAGAAGGACTTGGATATTCCTTATGCGACTTAAATCTGATGTAGTGTTTTTACTCAAAAACATTATTGCTTTGGTCAAGACACAGTATGGTAAGCCTATTAAGATATTTCGATCAGATAATGGAGGAGAATTTTTCAATCATTCTTGCAAGGAATTATTTCAGTTGCATGGCATTGTACACCAGAGTTCTTGCCCATACACTCCTCAGCAAAATGGGGTAGTTTAACGAAGACATAGGCATATACTTGAGACAGCCAGAGCTATTAGATTTCAGGGACATCTACCTGTTAGATACTGGGGCCATTGAATTGACACAGCAGTCTACATTATCAACAAGATACCCTCCTCAATTCTTGTAGGTAAATCTCCTTATGAAGTGCTACATGGGAAACAACCTTCTATTTCTCATTTAAGAGTGCTAGGATGCCTATGCTTTGCAACAAACTTGATCAAGCATGACAAGTTTGAGCCAAGGGCAGTGAGATCTGTTCTGTTGGGATATGCAGCACATCAAAAGGGTTACAGGCTATTGGATTTGGAACACAGAGTGTTCTTCATTAGCAGGGATGTAGTCTTTTATGAAGATGTGTTCCCATTCCAATCTTTTAGACACTGCTTCACCAGATTTCTTTCTTGATTCGACTCCAGTTCCTTGACAGGATGTTATTACAGATCCAACTCCTATGGTTGTTCATATGCCACACAATGAACCTTGCACACAGTCAGCTCCATGTTCCCCAAATTTACCTGAGATTTCCTGCTCCACAGATGCTACACCTACTTCAGTCCCTGATGATGATCCCATAGTTGCTGGTTCTACTATTGATGTTCCAGTGCCTAATTGTAATCTACCACTCCTGGGCAGGATATGAGAAGATCAGGGAGAGTGTCTAAACCTCACATCTGGCTACAGGATTATGTTCAGCCTACTAAAGGAAAGTTTGCAGGATGCTGCAAATATCCACTCTCCGAGGTGATCACCTATGATCACATTGCACTTATATATCAAAGTTATTTGTCCCAATTTTCTGTTGAAATGGAACCAGTGACCTACTAAGAAGCAGTTAATGATAAGAGATGGGTAGAACCCATGAAGTCTGAAATCAAGGCTTTAGAAGATAACCACACATGGGCTCTTGTCCCATTACCTAAGGGTAAGAAGGCTATGTAAATGGGTATACAAGATTAAATACAAGGCTACCGAAGAAGTAGAGAGATTTAAAGCCAGACTTATGGCAAAAGGATACAACTAGAGAGAAGGGTTAGACTACCAAGAAACATTTTCACCTTTGGTAAAAATGGTGATTGTCAGGAGTGTGCTTTCCATAGCAGATTCCAGGTGTTGGACCATCCATCAAATGGATGTGTACAATGCATTCTTGCAAGGTGATCTTTTTGAAGAAGTATATATGACTATCCCACAGGGGTTCAATGATTCCACTGATAAGTCCTTCTGTAAACTACTCAAGTCCCTCTATGGACTTAAGCAAGCTTCCAGACAATGGAATATCAAGTTAACAACAGCATTGCAGAACTCTGGTTTCACACAAAGCCACCTAGATTATTCCTTGTTCCTCAAGCGAGTGGGAGAAAAGTTGGTGGTGGTTCTAGTCTATGTTGATGACTTGTTAATCACAGGTGATGATATGTTGCTTATACAACAGACCAAGGATGATTTATAGTCTAGTTTTAAGATCAAAGACCTTGGTGAGCTCAAGTTTTTCTTGGGCATTGAATTTGCTAGGAGTGACCAGGGAATTTTGATGTATCAACGCAAGTATGCCCTAGTGTTGATCTCTGATTTGGGATTAGCAGGGTCAAAGCCAGTCCACTCACCTATGGAGCTTAATCTTAGACTGACTACCACTGAGTTTGATGCTTATACAAACTCTGTTGGTGATTCTATTCTTCCTGATCCTGGACCATACCAAACGTTTGCTGGGGAAACTACTCTACTTGACTATCACTCGTCCTAACATTTCATTTGATGTGCAGTGTTTGAGTCAATTCATGCATACACCTAAGTCTCCCATATGGAGGCTGCTATGAGGGTCATGCGATATGTCAAGTCTTGTCCTGGTATGGGTGTGTTACTAAGTGCTAATTGCTTTGCCTCTCTTTCAGCCTTTTGTGATACAGATTGTGTCACACCTCCTTTTTACCTACACCCCATAAAGGGTATAAATATAAGGGAGTATTTTCAATTAAAGGACAATCGAAACGGGATCATATTACTAAAAGATTCAGAGTCGCCACTTGGGATAATTTTATGGTGTCCCAAGTCACCGGTTCAAATCTCGAGTCGAGGAAAAGGTTGACTCTGTAATACAGTCCGCGAACTAGAAATCCGAGTAAGGAATTCTGTCAACCCGGGAGAAAGTGTTAGACATTCCCAAGTTCCGTGGCTCTAGCACGGTCGCTCAACTGTTATATTTGGCTTAACTATCTAATTTTAACACATTTTTAAACCTATGTGCATTTTAACATTTAAATCGCTTTTATTCATTTTTAGGAAGATTTCAACGTTATAAAAACACGCCTTTGGATCATGCCACATGAAATACACCCGCGATCCGTGACACATTTTGTTTAGCGTCGTCAGGATTTGGATTTGGGTCACATGAAATGCACACCCAAGTTTAAGGAAATTAATTATTAAAATAACGCGCCTAAAGTGACTACGCATTGGCAACTTTGCGAGGGCCATGAAAAATTCAACTAATGGCACACCTCGATTATTAAAAGAAAAAAACAATAAACTACGGATATTTACAATTATTTATAAGACCAATGATTTATGGAATTGGAACTACCGTAGAAGAGGTGATGTGATATCATTAAAGCTATTAGAAAAGGTCTGGAGGTAATTGAAGCTATTTTATTAATATCCACAAACCACAATACGCAACCCAGTACGTGATCGCAATAAGTATGCCAAGAATTCTCGATGCCTTGAAATAACTTGGGACAAATGGTCTATGAAAGAAAACAGGCCAGTCGTAGCATTTATTGGATTGGCCTGACAAAACAATGCATTTGGCCTGTATTTTGGTAGTAAAGAATTTAATTTAACTTGATTCCAACTAAAAAATTTGTGCAGCCCAATTAATAATCAGTATAAAAATTAGCCGATAATCCATCAATTACTACCAACATTCTCAAATTACAAACTGAACAAGTCTTAAAATGAACCACTACGAGCACACACACACATATGGATAGTTCCAACAAGTGTACAGTAGGTCACTTTAGGCTGCAAGCGTAAAATAAATTCAAATTAAATACTAAGCACATGTAATGTATCAAATAAGAGTGATTAAGGATAATAAAATCAGACCTCAAAGAATGACAGCTTTTCGACTACGACAGCAATGTATGAATATGAATCGGGACACGAGCTTGACCGGAAAACCTCTACCGGGATACCTCACCGACAACCTCGAAATCGATACGGGCACAAAACAGCTTTCAAACTCAAATGAACTCCACGATCGGAATCGAATCAACTTCCGTTGAAATCAGAAAAAGCAAAACTTTGACATTTAAATGAACTCCGTCGGATTCTATGGCTTCTTAAAATCGGAAACAGACGACAAGAGAAACTATGGGATAAAAATGACTGCTGCTGCAACTTCAAAGGTGCTGGCCGCGTTTGGTTAAGAAACAACCATCGAAACTGGTTGCTTCCTCATTTTGTGTCCAAAACTGCTGTAACTTAGGGTCTATTGGTGTCTGTGTTGATGAAGAGAGCAGGGGTGAGGTCATTTGGTTCTGTTTGTCGCATCTGGAGCTCGTTAATCCGGCGAGTTTCAGGCATCCGCGGCCAGCCGTGGTCAGCTGGTAAGGGGTGTGAGTGAAGAGGGTTATGGGGTCTCTAATGGCTGAAGAAGGAGGATGAAAAAGCTTGGGGTTTATGAGTTCGAAACATGAAGAAGCAGCAGAACAGGGGGCCGTTTTTTAATCTTCCATCGCGCTGCTTGCTTCAATCTGGCGTGAAGAAGACGAAGCCAGGGTGTGGGAGGGGGGGNTGAAGCAGATGACAGTGCGGGGGGTCCTGTCAAAGCTGCGCAGCCTTTTTTAGTTTCGGCTTCTTCTTTTTTCGTTTTTTCAGCATTCCTCCTTTCTTTTTAGTCTTAGCCTTATTTTTATATTGTAGAGTCTAGATTTTGGTGGGGTTTTTAGGTTAAAGGTTATGGGCCTAGGAATTATGGGTTAGGTCCAAATTTAGGCCTAAAAATGGGTTGTTCGAGCCCAAGTTTTATTTTTTCCGAGATTAAAAATACGGGCCCATTTATTAATTAATCCTACTATTCAAATAATTATTAAAATAAAACTAACCATTAAAACAAATCTATTTTTGGTATTTTCAAATATCATATTAAAATAAAAATACGATACTATTTTTTGTATTTTTTTAAGATTAAAAATGACTACAAAACATTAATGAACCTATTTTTGTAATTTTTTATTTTTTTGTAATAAAATAAAGTAAAAGAGTCAAAATTACTTAAAATATCTATATTATGCCTAAAGTAAATACTTTACGCTAATGTATAAAAAAAATTGGGGAGGGTCAAAAATCACATGTCTATAACTGCCCCTCTTTGACTAGAAAGACGTAGTATTTTCAGACAAAGAATGACTAGACAGGTTTTTGACCCGACCCTTATTTGTAGAGACTAAAACCAAGAGAAAAGGGGAATGTGACCGAGCTCTGGTATCTGAGCTGCCTACATATCCTTGGCTATAAAGGAATTAGGCTACGTGTAGTTTAGAAATGAGTGAGATGACGGAGTATGCCGAGGTGGAGATCCGGTCAAGGTGCCGTTCCGCCGAGGTTCCGGTCCGCAGTCCTGCTATTACATCAAAATAAAAACATGAAAAAGACTAGCTAAGCTTATCAATTACAAGTTACAAGATTCCTATCTATAAGTCTTCTTAAGCTTGATCTTGAGTCTTGAGTGGTTCTTCATGCACTTTAGATTTGAACCTTAACGCTTGCCAGTTGCAGGTGCTAGCTCGTTCTTCTTCAGATTTTCGGATCGAGACCGGACATGTATTGCTTGTGACCTCGGTCATGTCTTGAGCAGCTCACATCCTTCATCAACTTCTGCATTTGGATTTACTTGTGGCCTTTCTCTCTTTTCCTTTACTGATTAACTTTTGTTGATCATCTAGGACTGCTGACTCGCATTCTTGACGCGAGCTTCTTTCGTTACTGACTTGAATTGCATTCTGAATTGAATTCCCTTTTTTCCAGGTAGGCGCCTGATTGCGGAACTTGAACCGTCTTATCTTGTTACTTGACACTGTTTTCCTTTGCACCTTGAACCATTTTTCCCCCAAACTTGAACTGTCTTCCTTCGAAACTGCTTTCCCTTGAAACTCGAGTTGTCTTCCTTCGACACCGCTTTCCCTAGAAACTTGAGTTGTCTCCCCTTGTTCTCCAGGTGGGCGCCTGATTACAACAAAATAGATAAAACAAAGAAATTTTTTCTGCCCTAGTTTGCACTAGGAAGATTTGTGAGTTGTTAGCAAAATTGTAAACCACTTGTACTATTGATGCAATGATGAAATTAAACTAAAGAATAGACTAGGAAAATTGTAAACTAAGCTTAACTAAAGTAAAAACTGACCCTATTCTCTAGACGGGGTTCCCTGACTGCTAACTTGAAATGTAGTCTCTGCTCTCCAGGCGGGCTCCTGACTCCAAAACGTGAATATATTCCCATGCTATCCAGGCGGGCTCCTGACTCCAAAACGTGAATATATTCCCATGCTATCCAGGCGGGCTCCTGACTTCAACAAAATAGACAAAATAAAGAAAATTTTCTGCCCCAGTTTGGTGGTTGGGCACAGATGTAAGTGTAAATTGGATCACATTACCAAATATCAATAAGAACTTGAAAGCTGAAACTTGAATTGTACTCCCTTGTTCTCCAGGCGAGCTCCTGATTGCTGACTTGAAAGTATTCCCTGCTTTCCAGGCGGGCTCCTGACTTCAACTTGAAAGTACTCCCTGCTCTCCAGGAGGGCTCCTGATTTCAAGATAGACAACACAAAGAATTTGAAAGCTAAAATTTAAATTGTACTCCCTTATTCTCCAGGTGGGCTCCTGACTGCTGCGCTTGAAAGTATTCCCTGCTCTCCAGGCGGGCTCCTGACTTCAACTTGAAATGTATTCCCTACTCTTCAGGCGGGCTCCTGACTTTCTAAAATTTAAATTGTACTCCCTTGTTCTCCAGGCGAGCTCCTGACTACTGCGCTTGAAAGTATTCCCTACTCTCCAGGCGGGCTCCTGACTGTTGACTTGAAATGTATTCCCTGCTCTCCAGACGGGCTCCTGACTTCAAAATAGACAACACAAAGAATTTGAAAGCTAAAATTTAAATTGTACTCCCTTGTTCTCCAGGCGGGCTCCTGACTACTACGCTTGAAAGTATTCCCTGCTCTCCAGGCGGGCTCCTGACTGCTGACTTGAAATGTATTCCCTGCTCTCCAGGTGGGCTCCTGACTGCTGACTTGGATGTCTTCTCCCTGTTCCCCAAGCGGGTACCTGATTTCAACAAAATAGACAAAAACAAAGAAAAATTTTCTGCCCCAGTTTGGTAACTGGGCACATATGTGAGTGTTAAACTGAATCATATTACCAAATATTACTAAGAATTTGAAAGCTAGGTCCCATTATGCAGGGGGTCCTGACAACTCTTAACTGAACGACAATTTTAAATCTAAGTTATATCTTCTACAGGTGTGACTTCTGCTAGATCTTGCTATCTAAGAGAATTTTTAAACTACTCCCCATTATCTAGGAGGGTCCTGAAAATCAAAGGTCAAATTTTATCTTAAGGGTGACAACTTTCATGTCTGAATTATACTACCCTACAACAGAGTTTATGCTAAATGTTGTTATCTAATCGAAATCTTAAAGCTAAGTCCCATTATTCAGGAGGGTCCTGGAAACTCCTAATTGAATCCTATCTCGAACATGCAAACTTCTAAGCTAACTTATATTCTTTTGGGATACATTTATGCTGGATTATGTTATTTCTGAACTTTAAACTAGGTCCCATTTTCCAGGATGGTCCCGAAAATCAAAAATCAAACCTGTTTGGTGACTGCCTTTCTCCACGGAGGGTTTCTCCGAAACAACCGAAATCTCCTGCCCCTATTTTAATTAAAGAAAAATTTTGTCAGTTTAAAATGTGGTGGTTGGTTTGTGGCCTTGAATTTGAGGGCGATTGCTCCTTCACTTCCCATGATAACTGATTTCCACTCGAGGACCTTGCTTGCTTATGTACTACCCACTTTCTCTATCATCTTTATCGCAGAAAATACCCCTTCTCCGTTTAGACCCAATTCCCTTTATCTGTTGCATTGCTCATGAACTGACATTTACCAACCTTTGTGTTTCACCGAAAATACCTTTGATCTGTCCACCTAACACCCTCCACCTATTGCATCGTGCTCTTGTGTTGACGTGTATTGCACCTTTGTGTTTCTCATGAATTCCAAAGCACGTTAATTTCCATCCACTCAGTGTGCATGCTGTTTTTTCCTGACTTAAATCACTGGCCTTGGATTTGAAGTCTACTGTTCCCTCACTTGTCACGATAACTTTGATTTCTGCTTGGAAGACCTCGCTTGTCACTGGTTAACCACTTTCTTTGTCTCATCACAGAGAATGCCTTTGACTTGTTCACCCAACATCCTCTATCTGTTGCACTGTTCACGAATTGAAATATACCAAATCTTTGTATTTCTGATGGACCCCAAAACATGTTGATTGTTACCAACTTAGGGCGCTTGTTATTCTTTCCTGACTTATGACACTGATGTGCTGGCCAGATCCTGTTTTGTGCAATTGGGAAGCTGGTGGTGAATTTTGAAATTATTTCACTTATTTTGACCAAACAGACTCAGGAAGAGGAAGTAAACAAGAGTAAAGGAACAGAGTAAAGGACAAAGGAAAGAGATGATTCCTAACAAGAAAACTACAAAGTAGAAACCTATAAGATGTGGATACTAACTCTAATGACCATGACATGCACCTGTGGCCTATTCTGTTGAGAAAGTCTGATGTTCAACTCCTGTTATACCCCCTTAAACCATGAAACTGGGCTTCAATGCTCCGATTATCCAATCCGATTCACAATCCTTATTCGACTTGTAGTGCCCGAAGGGTTTTCACCATCAAGCCTCTCTCGTTTTGTTCTTTCTCTCAACTTACTATCGCCTTACGGTGCCCGCGAGGGTTTTCACCAATAAGACTCTCTCATTTTTTATTTCTCTCAGCTCTCGTCATCTTACGGTGCCCGTGAAGGTTTTCACCAATAAGACTCTCTCATTTTTGATTTTTCTGCTTGAATTAGAGTGTTACCCCTGACATGAATTACTTTCACCTGCTTGACTTGGCATTTCTCGAAGACTGATCAGAAGGTCTTTCTTTGGACCGCAATGTGGCCTTTTGGATGGGATTAGAAAGAAATAGTATAAAAGGCTCAAAACAATTCAAATTGGTTAAAATTACAACTTTCAGAATCAGATTTCTCACAACAACCACAACTTCTGCCCCAGTTTCTTGCTTGGGGATTTTTGGATTTTATTTTGATGGGACCGAACCATGAGGCTGCCTACGTATCCTTAAAAGGAATTAGGTCGAACGCAGTTCATGTCATAGGAATTGCTCTGTTGCTGTGATTTTTCTTTTCTCTTTCTCTTTTCTTTTCTTTTCTTTCTTCCTTTTTCTCTTTTTGTTGTTTTGTTGTTTTTTCTTTCCTCTTTTTTTCCTTTTTTTTTTATTTTTTCAATTTTCATTTTTTCTTCTCTCCCTTTTCGTTCTTTTCTTTTCTCATTTCCCTTTACTTATCTTGCACGCTTGTGTTTTTTATCTTTGCTACTAATTCCGAAAGAGGGGTATGAAAGAAAATAAATAAGGCTCAAAGGGGTAATGAAGGATAAGGTGTTTAGATAGCAGAACAAAATGCCTTCGTCATTCCAATCTTCAGAACATGCCAAGTA